TTACCATGAACAGATTAAACATATAAAAAAGTTTGTTTTATTATTTTAATTAATTAATAAACATAGTAATAAAAATGTTATTAAATAAATGCAGTAATAATACCGGAATAAGTCTTTTATTTCATTACTTTTAGATCTCAATACAAAAGTTCGTAATGAATTGGGATTACGAATACAAGTAACGGGAACTGACAGTCAGTTCATGAATAATGAAATGAAATTATGGTAATTGTTAATCCGTAAGATTAAGTGTAGATTATTGTAGTGATAAGACACGTAATAGTGGTTCACATATAAGCCGACAATCATTGTCTCAATTCATGGATACGTTTGCCATCGAAATGAATGAAATGTTTGTCGGACTCAGACTTCCATTGTGTGCTATTCTTACTAATGATAATTGACCTCAACTTCGGACTACTATTTATTACTCGCGAACCTCTTCACTACCTTTTCGTCCAATTGTTTGCCATCAGTGCTTCTGATGAACAGTTCCTGAAGTTTGGGTAGTCTTGAGATGCGATACAATGAAACACAGTTTATAACACTATTCTTGTCAGTGATGTGAAGTCTGCAATTTTCGCAAATTTGTCTCAATTTGTTGAAACAATTTGTAGTGAATGAGCCATAAATCAAGCGATAAGTGAGTCAACCCTTTGGGCCAAACACTCAGTGAATCAAATGCGTGACAATCGGTGTCCACCGGTGTGTCGACGTCCTCTATAAGCAGTTTTAGATCCAATCGTTTCAATCGCGGCATAAATGGTATGGCATTCAAGACATCGACATTCAGTTGCGGTGTTTCTGAACGTAATTTGAGATTAAATTCTTAGTTTCGGACACTTTATGCCGATTTCACGCAAATAATTGCCGATCGAGTACTCCATGGGATCTGTTTTCACGTAGAACTCGAGCGTTAGTTCCCGTAATTGCGGTAATCGTGTGACTCGTGTCAGTAATAACAAGTGCTGCCATTCAGTGACAATACTATTAGAGTTTAAAATACTTTATAAACTAAATTATACTTTATTGAAGTTTTATTATACAGTATTAACTAGGTTAATTATTAGTCCTTATAAACAAATATTTTACTTTAATAAAATGCAATTAATTCACAAAACAACATGCATTTCAAACGAGATTTAATTCACGTTTGAATTGTTATAGAAAAACTAAATTCAAATATTTAACTCAAAATTGTTTCATTAAATCTCAAACAAAATTATTTTATAAATTCACTCAAAATTATCTCAACTAATATTGACCACTAAATTCTATCCACTATTTCTTGTGGACACAAATTCCCGATTCTGTAGGCATTCATACATTTAATGATAGAATTTTTGTACAGAATATACGGCAGTCGTGACAATCCGTGTCCTATCGCCACAACTCCTGTACTTCCTATCGATGTTTGGCTTTCGGACACAACTATTGGACAGACATTTGGTGACAATCGTACGACACATCCAGACACTGGCCCTCAATGTGTGCCAAAATCAACAGATATTAGGCCTACAGTTGTTTGAAGTTTGACATCCATTTCCCTTTCCATTACTCGGAATCGTGTGTTCAATAGCTATGAGAAAATAAAATGATATTTTAAATTATATTGAAAATAACGGGTGTTTTAATTCTAATTTATAATCCCTGTCCACATAAGACTTACTTAATTTTTAGTTAATTTTAGAGTATTTAATAATTAGTATTTAATTAGTATTTAAATACTGTACTAAATCAAATGATTTTGTCTATAGTTTTGGTGCAAAGTATGAGATCATTTTCAATGATGTAATGAACACATGGTTTGCATAACAAGTGCTGCCATTCAGTGACAATATTTGAGAGTTTATGACAAAAAGTTTAAATTAAATCACTTTTTAAACTAATTTATAATTAATTTGAATGTTTTATTATACAGTATTGACCAGGTTAAATACCAGTAGTAATACTAAATGTTATTTAATGCGATTAAATGTATTACAAATTGGATTAAGATTAAATCCTAATATTACTCAGTTTTGAAAATTTAAAGCTTGAAAATTTGAAAAATAGAGTAAAAATGAACTGTAATTAGAAATTAAATAATAATTAAGTATGGGTTGAGTGCCAGGGATTACAGATTATTAGACAAAATAGTGGTTCACTTAAGGCGCCAATCATTGTCTCAATTCATGGATCCGTTTGCCATCGAAATGAAGTGAAAGAAAATATGGAAAACATGTATTACTTTTAGAAACTTTAATTGATGTCAACTCCGGACTACTATTCCTCACCAACGTTTTCACCGCCTTTTCTTTCAGTTGTTTTTCATCAGTGTCTCTAATTAACAACTCCTGTAGTTTAGGTAGACTTGAGATGATATCCAATGATACGCTATTTATAACACTATTCGTGTCAGAGATGTGAAGATTTTGAGTCCAAAATAGATTACGTTTTCATCACTGCATTGAAAAGTTTCAAACTTTTAGTTTTGATAATTAATTTCATTTATTAAACTGATCTTGGTATTGTAAATTAGTTACTAAATGCGAGTCAATATATTTGTATGGTTTTATTGATAGTTAGTTTACAAACATTGAATTAAATTTAAATCTCAATACAAAATCCAAGTTATTATGAAATCAAGCAAAAATAATTGTGAATTGTGTTCATAATAGCAATGAATAGAAAATAAATGCAATCATAATATTATCGGTTATACTAAATAGTTAAACAAAATGATTATTTGAGAGATATTTACAGTCAAATTATGTGTATTGTATGGCTTTTATTATAAATTGAATTGAATTTAAATCTCAACACAAAACCATAGGCTATTTAGAATTAAAGCAAAGTAATAATAATTAATTGTTAATAAATTCAATACAAATCAATACAAAAACAGTATTAATAAAAATAATAAAATGATAAAACATTTACGAGAATAAGACAGAGATTATGTGTATTATAGGACTCATAGACAGGTAATAGTGGTTCACATATAGTCGACAATAATTGTCTCAATTCATGGATCTGAATAGAAATGATTTATTTTGAAGCAATTCAGTCAAATTGAGTTCATTCTCCATTTTGATTATCTTAATTGATCGCAACTTTGGACTACAGTTGCTCTCAAACTCTTTAATGGCTTCTTCGTTAAGATGTATCCCTTTGAGGCATTCAATGACCAGTTCCTGTAGTTCCGGTAGTCTTGAGATGTGATCCAATGGATCGCTGTTTACAACACTTTTCGCGCTAAAGATCTGAAGACTTTGCAGTTTTCGCAGATTTGTCTCAATTTGTTGAAACAGATTGTATTGATTGAGCCATAAGTGCAGCGATAAGTGAGTGAACCCTTTGGGCCATTCATTCATACCATTAAATGCGAGCCAATCTATTCTCCGGAAAGTATTCAGATTTAAGTCCAATCGCTTCAATCGCTTCATAACTGGTATGGCATTCAAGACATCGACACTCAGTTGTGGTGTTTGTGTGGTATAAATGACTTCGAGACCAAGTTTCTTGAGTTTCGGACACTTTATGGCGATTTGACGCAAACAATCACTGATTGAGTACTCGGTGTTAACCTCTGTTTTGAGCTTAAGTTCACGCAATTGTGGTAAACGTGTGACTCGTGTCACGAATTCAGTGATAATGTTATTCGGGATTATTGTGAGCGACAGAGACCTCAGCGACTGATTGTGTGCCACAAATGTGTCAAACATTGAGACATCGAAATCGGTGTCTAAGCGTAACGCGAATCCGAAGTGTCGTAAGTTCTTCGCCAACAGCTGTTTGTCCACCGATTCGGTGAACACGTGGGACAGGGAGTCGACAGTTAAGCGCAACAATTGCGGACACAATGATAACAATCGTCGCGAGTCTGTGCGTCCCTTGAGATCCAATTCGGTGACCATTGAACCGATCGCTCGGAACCAATAGTCGACGATATCTGCGCCGAACGCCAAGAAATGGCAGTCAAGTCGTCGCAAACGCCGCCAATTGTCTCGCAATTCAATGATAGTCTCGACGATACGACAGTTCCAGACGGGACGGCAGTCAATGGACTCAATGTTTGGGCACTTCTTCATAATGGCGACGATCTTCTTGTCGTAGAAATAGCCGTCGCTTTCGTGTCGTGACATCAGGTTCGCAGTGATAGTGATGTGCCGGACATTGCTGTACACCAATCGTTGCCACTGTTTGGACACACATTCACATCGGATCCGGTCTTCGAGTGTGAGGTAAGAGAGTATGTGTTCACACATATCATCACCGAATCGGTCCAAAGAGTCTTTTGCATACATTTGTGGCTATAATTNGATCCGGTCTTCGAGTGTGAGGTAAGAGAGTATGTGTTCACACATATCATCACCGAATCGGTCCAAAGAGTCTTTTGCATACATTTGTGGCTATAATTAAGACATTAAACGTAAGGTTTGATTAAAACTGACGATTATTATCAATAAATCTCTAAAGCGGTTACCATTTGATTGTCGTGAACCACCTCTTCCTGATTATCCATTGTTGGGATCCAATGAGTGATAATTGAGTGTTAATTGCAATCAAAAGATGTATCAATTGTTCACAAAATAAGTCATAATTTCAAAACGAAAACATTGAAAGCATTTGAATGAGAAAATAAATTACGTTTTGATAACTGTTTGTAAAGTTTGAAACTTTTTTTGATTTAATTTTGTTGACAATTAGTTAACTTTATATTCACTTATACTGTAGATATTGAATAAGATATGCTTTAAATTTATATTTACAGTTAAATTATGTGCATTACTTAGTTTTGGGTTTTATTATACATTGAATTAAATTTAAAACTCAATACAAAACCAAAGGTTGTTTAGAATTAAAGCAAAAATAATAATTATTTGTTAATTAATACAAATAAATACAAAAAACATTTGTAATTATAAATTATCGGTTATACTAATGAAATGATAAAACATTTACGAGAATTAGACTGAAATTATGTGTGTATTAGTGGTTCACATATAAGTCGACAATCATTGTCTCAATTCATGGATCAGTTTGTCACTGAATTGCATGAAAACATTTCCGCAATAAAACTTCAGACCCGTACTGATGGTAATGGATCTCAACTTTGGACTACTATTCCTCGCAAACATTTCCATATCTTTATCGTCCAATTGTTTTCCACGAGTGTCTCGTATGACCAGTTCCTGCAGTTTTGGTAGTCTTGAGATGCGATCCAATGAACCATAGTTTACAACACTTTTCGGGTCAGAGATGCGAATGATTTGCAGTTTCTGGAGATTTGTCCCAATTTGTTGAAACAGTTTATTATCAATGAGCCATAAGTCTAATGATAAGTGAGTCAACCCTTTGGGCCAATCACTCACTGATTCAAATGCGTGCCAATCGGTGATCACAAACCAATCGATTTTATGTATATCTAGTTTTAGGTCCAATCGCTTCAATCGTCGCATAACTGGTATGGCATTCAAGACATCGACATTCAGTTGTTGTGTTTGTGAACACATCTCGAGTCGAAATCTCTTGAGTTTCGGACACTTTATACCGATTTCACGCAAATTATCACCGATTGGGTACTCATTGTCAAGACATCCATAGATTGCAAGCGATAAATCATGCAATTGTGGCAAATGTGTGATTCGCGTCAGGAATTGGTTTACAATACCTTTCGGTATACATCTGACCGACAGAGACATAAGCGACTGATTGTGTGCCACAAATGTGTCAAACATAGAGATATCGAAATCGGTGCTCAAATCAAACTCAATGTGCCGTAAGTTCTTCGCCAACAGCTGTTTGTCCACCGATTTGGTGAAGGCGTGGGACAAGTGGTTGACTTTTAGTCGACACAACTGTGGACACAATCGGATCACTTCGCGTTCATATTCTTGAAATCTGAGACACAATTCGGTGACCATTGGACCGAACCTATGGTACCAATGGTTTACGATATCAAAGAAGTGGAAGATATCGCCATTAATTCGCCGCAAATGTCGACAATTATCTCTCAACGCATATATTGTCTCCGGAATACGTCGGCTGTGACTGTCTTTATAGAGATACCCGCAGTCTATGGACTCAATGTTTGGACACTTCTTGATAATGGCGGCGATTGTTATGTCGAAGACAATCACCGAAAAGTTTTCGATTTTGTGTCATTAATTTCTTGTCAATAGTGATGTGCCGGACAGTCGTGTATATCAATCGCTGCCACTGTTTGGACACACATTCACATCGGAACCGGTCTGAGAGTGTGAGGTATGAGTGTATGTGTTCACACATATCATCACCGAATCGGTCCAAAGGGTCTTTTCCATAAGTTTGTGACTATTGTTAAGAATTAAACAAAAATTTAATTAAAACTCATGATTATTATCACTATATCTGTGACCATCTGGTGATAGTGTAGTGAATGAGGTTTCCTGGGATTAGTTATTCATAGAATACAATGTGTTTTTAGTAAAAACTTTTTAGTTTCCTAAAGTTTATCAGTTGTCAAGGTATTTAAAGTTATTTTATAAATCTTTATTCAAATTCAAAGTAATTTATAAAAAAAACAAAATCAAATGAAATAGAAAAATACAAAGTTTGTAACGTGTTTATAAAAACAATTGATTAAAATGGCGTTTAATTAAAAGGGAATTATTATAATTAGAAATGAATTTATAATGAAATGACAAAACATTTAAAGCAATGAATAATACAAGAGTTAGACAGAGATTATGTGTGTATTATAGGACTCATAGACACGTAATAGTGGTTCACATATAAGCCGACAAATATTGTTTCAATTCATGGATCAGTTTGCCATCGAAATCATACCAAATATTTTTATAACCGTCGAAATCATTGGTCTCGCAGATGGTAACTGACCTCAACTTAGGACTGCTATACATCGCGAACCGCATCACCACCTCATCGTCCAGTTGTAGCCTAACGGGGCTTCGGATGACCAGATCTTGTAGTTTCGGTAGACCTGAGATGCGGTCCAATGTGTCCTCGGGATGTATCCGTGTATTACCGGTAGTTATGCCAAGACTTTGCAGTTTACGGAGATTAGTCTCCAATTGTCGGAACAGTTTGAAGTGAATGTGCCATAAATCTAGGCATAAGTGAGTCAACCCTTTGGGCCAATCACTCACGCAATCAAATGCGTGCCAATCAGTGGTCATCGTGTTATCGATTATCTGTAGTTTTAGATCCAATCGCTTCAGTCGTCGCATAAGTGGTATGGCTCTCAAGACATAGACATTCAGTTGTGGTGTTTGTGAACTCATTTCGAGTTTAAAACTCTTGAGTTTCGAACACTTTCTGCCGATTTCACGCAATCTATTACCGATTGGAGACTCAATTACGACATCAGTTTTAAGCGACAATTCACGCAATTGTGGTAAATGTGGGACTCGTGTCAGGAATTCGTTGATAATGTCTTTGGGTATACCTCTGACTGACAGAGATAAGCGACTGATTGTACGCCAAAAATATATCAAACATAGAGATATCGAAATCGATGTCAAACGAGAACTGGAAGTGCTTTAAGTTCTTCGCCAACAACTCAGCGCCCGATTCGGTGAACACGTGCGACAAGTCGTCGACATTCAGTGACCATATGTTTGGACACAATCGGAGCACTTCTCGCCTACTTTGGTAACCATTGAGAACCAATTCAGTGATCATTCGGCCGAACGTACGGAACAGATAGACCACGAAATCGTTGTCGAAGCGCAAGAAATAGCCATCAATTCCCTGTAAATGTCGACAATTGTCTCTCAACTCAGCTATGGTCTCGAGTATACGTCTTCCGTGTCTGTCGTTATAGAGTTGTCGGCAATCAATGGACACAATGTTTGGGCACTTCTTCATGAGTGCGGACATCGTTTTGTCGTAGAAATAGCCATCACTTTGGGGTTTATTTCGTGCCATCAGTTCTCTTGTGATAGTGATGTTGCGGACAGTCGTGTAAACCAATCGCTGCCACTGTTTGGACACACATTCACATCGGAACCGGTCTTTGAGTGTGAGGTAAGAAAGTATGTCTTCACACAAATCATCACCGAATCGATCCAAAGAGTCTTTGGCTGACATTTGCGGCTATTATTGAGACAATTATTTGAAACAAAGATTTGATTGAAACTAATGATTACATTATTATTACAATATCTATGAATACCTGTTGAGTGTCCTCTTGAGCCACATATTGTGTCACGTCTTGTGTCGCGTGAATATCCATTCTTGGGATCCAATGAGTGATACTTTGTGTCCACTCTTAAGGCAATAATCAATGAATGAATGTTTGGTTTGTTTAGTTTTGGTGCAAAAAGTGTTTGATTTTCAAAATAATGCATTCAATGAACACATGGTTTGCATAACAAGTGCTGCCATTCAGTGACAATACTATTAGAGTTTATGTCAAACTTTTCGATTGATTTTAAGTGTATTAATATTTTTTAATTGTAATTATATTTGATATAGTATTTTAATTTTATTATAAGTGATATTTGTTTTAATATTTATTTAAATGGAAATTTAAAGTTCTTAATGAGTTTTATAACATTTTATACTCAATACAAAAAGTTAAAGTAATCTAAAAGTAAAACAAATAGTAATGTATTTATGAATACAATTAAATAGAAAGCATTATAATTATAGGGATATTCAAACATTTGAATCACATTTTCATTAGTTTTTATAAATTATAAGAATTTCAATCATTTCTAAATACAAAAGTTAAAGTTATTTGAAATAAAATATTAATGGGTTTTTGAATTTAAATGATATGTTATAATTTATAACTAAAAATTAAGATAACATAGTATTACAGGTAATGATTAAATGGATTAGAGTTTTGATCAGAGATTATGTGATAATTAGTGGACTCATAGACACGTAATAGTGGTTCACATATAACCAGACAATCATTGTCTCAATTCGTGGATCCGGTTGGCATTGAAATGAAGTAATACGTCCGGAGGCTTATAGGTCTTAGTCTTACTGATCCAAATTGATCGCAACTTTCGGGTATTCCGTGCAAACTTCTTGACCACATTCTCATCCAGTTGTCCGCCATCAGTGCCAGTGATGACCAGTTCCTGTAGTTTAGGTAGTCTTGAGAAGCGATCCAATGAAACACTGGTTATAACACTATTCTTGTCAGAGATGTGAAGGATTTGCAGTTTCTGTAGATTTGTCTCCAAATGTCGGAACAGATTGTAGTGATTGTGCCATAAGTGTAGCGATAAGTGAGTCAACCCTTTGGGCCA